CACTACGAGTCCAATCTAGTAGTGAGACCCTGAATACCCTGTAGACCCTTCCCTAAAATACAAAAAATAAAAAAATTGTGCTTTAGAAAAAAAAAAAAAGCTGTCACAGAAAAATCACGAGTTGGAGACCAACCTGGGCTACATAGTGAGGGCCTATTTCAAAACAAACAAGGCTGGGGAGATGGCTCAGTAGAGCAAGCGCTTGCTGGCAAGCACAAGGGCCTGAGTTAAAACACACACACACACACACACACACACACACGCAAACAACACTCAAATAAATGTGAGTTAAAACACACACACACACACGCAAACAACACTCAAATAAATGTTTAAGTCTTTGACAGGACATCACTGATTTGGGAGTTTCTCTTTTGTTTGGTTTTTCTAATTTTCAGCACTTGTGTGTGTTATTCATAAAAACAGCATAAACACACCGCCCGTCCCACCAGCTTTGCCTCGGCACACACACTATGCAGCGCCTCTGATGGAGACAGCTCAGGGATTCAGATTCTCCAGCAGACCCACAATGCCTCCAGCTAAAGGAGATGAATCAGACCTTTCAGTTTGCCTGGCTGAGTCTCAGTGCCCCGAAGAGACCAATTTAAGCACAACTACTATAAAGGCAGAATAGATGTTGGCCATGTGACCAGGGCCGTCACGAGGGCCCCATGCCTCCAAGGGGGCATTTTGGTTGTAATGCTTTGATCATCATCACAGAGCTCTGAATCGTGAGGGGACATCTTTGTGAGATGGGGTTTTACTTTATAGTCAGGTTGGGTTTGAACTCATTAGGCAGCCCAGGCTGTCCTCAAACTCATGGAGTTCCTCCTGCCTCAGCCTCCTGAGCACTAGTATTACAGTATTACATGCACTACGATCCCCAGCATTTTTTCCCCACTTTCTCAACAAGGAATACCACTGTTAAAATTTTGCACTGGGCATCAAATTCTGTAAACTGGCTCTAGTAAAATCACAGTCATAGACAGCTTTCCTAGGACAAAAGGTTGAAAATGATGGCCTAATAACTAGAACACAACCACAATGTAACTGGAATGTAACTTTTCTTTTCATATGGGGTCTCTCTCTGTTGCCCCAACTGGCCTCAAATGTCCAGGCTTTCTTCCAGACTCGGCCTCCGAAGTAGGTGGGTCTGGAGAAGCGCACCACAGCGCAGGGTTAGGAACAGAATGATCATGAAGGCAAGAACACTGACTGTTTTGCAAAAACTTTAAAATTAAGTTTATTGGTGTACTTTGACAGGTTGGCAAGAAAGCTCAGTGGCCCAAGCGCCTGCCTGGCAAGAGCAAGGACCCGGGTTTGATCCCTGGCACCACATGCTGTGCTCGCCCTGCCCCTGTGCAGGCCCAGGCCTGGGCATGCAGGGCCTGCCACTGAGACCGGGCATGGTGGCAACCACCTGTAATCCCAGTGCTGGGGAGGCGGAAACAGGAGGATCACCATGAGTCTGAGCTGTATGACATAGGGGATTTGTACCTGCACATGATAATTTTTTCATATTCCCCTCCTCTCCCTTCAGCTTCTCTTCTCTTCCTTTTTATTTATTTATTATTTTCTTTTGTATCTTAGGGAAGGGTCTACTAGATCAGACTTGTAATGATCCGTCTGTTTACAGCCTCCCAAGAGCTGGGATTACAGGCGGGCGCCACCACACCCGGTCTCAACTGCTCTCAGCACACCCCGGGGGCGGGGCTGGCAAGGGAGGCCGAATCGAGCCCCTCTGGCCCCTGCACCAGCTTGCAGCTGCTTTAATCCGTTTCCCCCGCCCCAACCGGGAATTGAACTCAGGCCCGTGAGCTTACCAGGGAATCCCTTATTCCACTGAGCCATCTCCCCCGCCATCTCCCCCGCCCGCTGTAATGCTTTCAGTTCTTTCAGAAGATACCAAGCAGGGCACCGGCCCCGCCCCCAGGACACCCTGAGACAGCGATTGAGACTAGGCATGGAGGCGCGCTTGTAATCCCAGCTCTTGGGAGGCTGCAAACAGGCAGATCACTATGAGTCCAATCTAGTAGTGCGACTCTGAACACCTTGTAGACCCTGCCCTAAAATAAAAAATAATAATAATAAAATAAAAAAGAAGAGGAATGCAGGAGTCCCTCACTATTTCACGGTTCAACTTTTGCAGACTGTTTTTCCAAAAACTATTAATCTAAGTTATTTATCATAGATTCTTTGCTGTGCCATGGGATTTTGCAGGCACGTACTGTACTGGACACTCACCGCACCCTCATCACTCCATCGTCACCAGGACTACACGGCGCAGTCATCACCTGCACCCTTCAAGGTATAGTAGTATCTCCACTGGTGAGGACCCAGCTAAAAATGTGCAGTGCCATACTGTATACATATTTTGTCGAAATCACATAGGTTTAAGAGTTCAAAAAATGGTTAAGAGGGGCTGGGGAGATGGCTCAGTGGAATAAGCGTTTCCCTGGCAAGCGCAAGGGTTTGAGCTCAATCCCCAGTTCCACCAAAAAAAAAAAAAAGGTTAAGAACATTATATATCACTACTTCCCTGATTTCCACTTATAGTGGCAGTGTGTGGAACGTGACCTCCATGATAAGTGAGGGACCATGTAGCTGAATCAAATGGGACTTCGAATCCTGGTGTTCTGAAGAAACTCCTCACTGACTTCCACAGTGGTTTCCCGAGTCTGCGTGCCCACCAACAGTGGAGGGTTCCTTTTTTTTTTTAATTTATTTATTTTATTTATTTGTGTGTGTGTGGCCAGCTCAGACCGCCTGGGGGCGGGGCTGGCTGGCATGTGGTGCTGGGGATTGAACCGCGGTCCACGTGCTTTGCTAAGCTTGTTCAAAGTAGGTGCTTTAGACCACTGAGCCATCTCCCCAGCCCAGAAGGGTTCCTTTTTCCCCACGGCCCCTCCAGCATTTGTTACTGGCTGATTGCTTGATAATGGCCATTTTTTCTGGGGTGAGATGGAATCGCAGAGCTGTTTTAACTCACATCTGTTGAATGACCAATAATGTTGCACCTTTTTTTTTTCAGGTATTTGCCATTTGTATTTCTTCATCTGAGCAGTGTGCTCATCTCAGAGGCCCCTTTTTGGACTGGGTCTTTGAACTTGGGGCTCTCTTTCTCTTCTTGCCTAGTGTGCACAAGGCCTTGTCTTCATTTCTCAGCACAACAGAAAGCAAAACAAAAATGAAAGGGAACATATATTATTCACTATTCACTTTTTTTTTTTTTTTTTTTTTTTTTTTTTTGCGG